AAAATATTACAATCAATCAAGATTAAAATTAGTTGCATTTTATGAAATGAAACGAGATATGGATATGTATAAGTCTGGTAATCCTTCATCTCATCCATCACCTAGTTCAAGATCTTTAGGCACTAGTGAATTACGCATGAATTATATATTCAAGAATCTTTTTCATGGTCTTCGATACTTAGATTTTGCTGAACAATTAATTCAAACAAAATCGATACATGATTTTAAACGTGTATCACATATATTAGATGAAATGAAAGAAATACGTGGTGATCCAACAGATAGTTCAAGTATGGAACGGTAAGAAAAATAGAATCATATTTTTTTGTCATATAATAATATATATTCATTATTTTAGAGTATCTGAATTTGTTGAAATGAAAAGTAATGAATTAAAATCAAAATTAGATTTACTTGTACCAACAAATATTATTAATGGATCATTTAAAGCATATATTACATTTGATTGTTCAAATGATACTATGAATGTAATTAATAATCTTGTAAAAGTATGTGAAAATACCAAATATAAAATAATATTTATTGCATTGGATAATAATCAAAAGATCGATAAAGCTCAAGAACAATTAATAGTATCATCACAATATGATGGTGAATATCCATCGATTGTTAAACAAATTGAAAGAGAAATTTCTCAAAATTATCAAGATTTTAGTATTATACGTATTAAAATCAAAGTATCAACAACAAATCAAAGTGTACTATTATCTGATATGGAGAGAGATTTGTTTTGGAGTAACACAACAAATTATTTTGAATTACGTTATACGATTCCAGTAAGAAGAAGTCGTAAACGAGATGATTTACCATATATACAACGACGTTTTCGAGGCTGTATCAGAAATATTCATACTTTGCATGTATCACATGATGCATTTCAAAAAGCCTATGGAAATGATTTACGTTATGTGATTACAATACGTTTCTTTAATGGTGGTGCAGGATTTGCATTAATTCAACATAGTTCAATCATCGGAATGTTAGAACGAATGAAATTTTCACCATTAAAAGTTGTCCAAGAATTTGTTGTTCATGATACAAATATTAAACTTGATAACTGTATAGAATAGTTAGTTTAGTTGTGTTATTGAATTTATTGTAAATAATAACAATATTTACTAGATTTTCTTTTTCTTTTCATTTTATATGATGCAATAAATCGCAATAACTAATACTTAACGAGAAATTTCCATTAGTACATATTTATCGAATGAATCAATCTTACCTGGTACACATGGCTTTTTTTTCTTCCTTCATCATATTGCCTCTTTCTATTGCACGTGCATGAGTCAGAATGAAAAGTATCCACGAAAACATCATTTTGTTTTTGTCTGAGTATATATCTTTAAAAACTTATTTATAAAAAATGGATCGGAGTGCAATTCCGTTAATTCTACAGACATTAAATTTAAAAGAAGAAGATGTAACGAATATTTATCATCATGGTTCTTGGATATATGGTACGAATTCACCAACATCTGATCGAGATCTTTTAATTGTAACTCGTTCATTAAATAATATTCCACTTAAATTTTGGAGTGATTTTGATTATTTTCATGATTTTCAATGTCTGAAATTATGGGATCAATATGATATTGGGATATATACAACTGAAAATTTTGAAATATTATTAGAAAAAAATTATTTAATTTGTGTACAATGTATTTTTTTACCTGATGAATTTATATTGAAAAATGAAATTGATTTTAAAAGCATTTATTTAGAAAAATACTGTAATACAATACGAATTAAATTAGGTGCTTTTTATGAAATGTATAGAGATTGGAAATTATATAAACCTGAAAACAATTCTTTGTCACGTCGAGATTATATATTTAAACATTTATTTCATGGCCTTCGATATTTAGATTTTGCTGAACAATTAATACAAACACAATCAATACATAATTATAAACGTGTAACATATATATTTGATCAGATGAAAGCTATACGCGATGAACCACCTATAAATTCCAGTATGGAACGGTAATAGATAGAAAACAGAAAATGAACAAATCATTTTTTTTCTCTTCTTTTTAGTGTTGCTGAATTTGTTAATTTGAAAAGTATTGAATTTCGTTCAAAACTCGACGTACTTGTACCAACAAATATTATTAAAGGTTCATTTGAAGCAATGATTACATTTAATTGTAATGATAATAATATTGAAAATCTTGAAAAATTATGTAATAATACAAAATATAAATTTATATTGATTCATTCTGGTATTGATCAAGATAAGAATAAATCAGAACAATTAATAGTATCATCACAATATCATGGTGAATATCCATTAATAATTCGACAAATTGAACAAGAAATTTATCATGATTTTAAAGATTTTAATATAGTACGTCTTCAAATCGAATCATTAGTATCAAATGAAGGTGTACCAGAAGGTTTTACTGAGAAAAAATTATTTTGGAATCGATCAAACTATTTTGCATTCTATTATCTTATACCATTGGAAAAAGATGGTAAAGGAGAAAATTTAAAAAAAATCGTAAATACATATCGATCAAAACATAGATTCAATTCAGATAATATAGATTTATTACATAATGAATTTAAACAAACTATTGATAACAATCTTCATTATATTAGTATTATGCGTTTATTCAACGTCGGCCGAGAAAAAGCATTGGTAATAAATGATGAAATCATTGAGAATTCAAATAGAAATAATTTACCGTTAACTCTTATGAAATCTGCGTTTATTGTTTATGAGAAAAATATTGGTTTAAATCATAAATGATAATAATACTTATAGAAATTTTTTTTGTTACTTTTAATAAAAATATCAGAAAACTGATGCAAAACAGTACTCATAGATGTCCTTGCTAATATAATAAAATGTATGTTGTCATCATCATGTTTTTCTCGTTCTTACACAACATTACTTCATGCTTTTACTAATGCTGACTACATCATACGTTTTTTTACATTGAAATTTCACCATAAATAAACAAAATGATGACATATATTTCTATAAAAACAAATGATCAATGTATAATTCACAATCATTTACAATGGATCGTTCTGCAATATCCTTAATATTACGAGAACTTAATATCAATGAAAATTGTGTCGCTAATATTTACAACTATGGTTCTTGGGTATATGGTACGAATTCACCGACATCCGATCGAGATCTTTTAATTGTAACTCGTTCACCAAGTACTACTCCGCTTGTATTTCAAGTTGAATTTGATTATTTTCATGAATTTGAATTACATAAATTATGGAATCGATATGATATTTGTATACATAGTGTTGAAAATTTTGAAATTCTTCTAGAAAAAAATTATTTACTTGCTGTTGAATGTACATTTTTACCAGCTGAATTTAAAATAAAAGAAGAAATTGATTTTCAAAAGATTTATTTAGAAAAATATTACAA